CGGAAAGTGCAGCAGCTCTTCTCCCAAGAAGACGTTACTTTTTCTCACCGCGCATAACGGCAATGAATTCAATCAAGACATTTTATTGAACGAGACGTAAAGTGTCTCGTGTCACAAATAAAATGTATTCCTTATGGTAGGTGCGAATCTTTCTTAGTAGACGTGTTTCTGAGATTCCAACATGATTCTTATTTCTTTATATGAAAATACTTTATACAAGAAATTAATCAGAAACAAAATTACGTTCGTTTTATTTAATTTTGCATCAAATGTTCATAAATTCTAATGTTAATCGCTTGTTCTACTATGTGAAATTAATATCATGAAATTTCGTTTCGCACGAAAATCTATAATTCTCTTCGTAATTAATAATTTAGATTAAATTCTTTAAGCCGATTTACATAAATTATTGTTTATACTAACACAAAACAATAGAGAGCGATTCAACAAGCGAAACGATCAATGCGGAAGTTCGGTATGCTATTCGGCTCGCGTATTTCCTTCCGCGACGACGCGAATAAATTTGCTCTTATCGCGCTAAATAAATACGCTTGGCTATCGCGGATAATCGCGCGTCGCGTACGTGCCGGTTGATAACGTGCAAATTATGTCTCCCTTGTTTCGGCTCGTCTTCAGGCAAATTTAGTCCAGAAACGGCGCCAGGAAAACTTCCTTTCCTGATAAGCACGCAAGCTGAAGAAGTCCGATAGCGATGCGTCGCTATCGAACCGGAAGTCTCGTTCTGCCATTTCTCCGTTGGCTACGGGGAAGATGCTTTTTCGAACATTTCGTGAAAAGAGAGAGCAAACCGTTGCGAGGTTTTCTTATTACATTATTTCTTCGGGTATTCCACGAGCGAGCTGCGATTCCTTGGTGCGTATTTCTACGCGCACACGGTCACCGCTACGTACGCTATTACATATGTGGAGCACGTTCGTACATACCGGTGACTATATTTAGAAGTTTCTCGAAAGCGAACGTTACACGGTGAACAACGCGCGCGAAGAAAAGCAAAGAGTTCTACCGCGAAATCTAGAGTAACATGCTCGTAATAAGCGTTTTACGACGCTACCGTGCGTCTGTCGATCGACTGGGTCAACATCGCGATCTAAAACTGATTCCGTTGCAATATCCGCGTTCCGACCTAGCGTCAACTTATTTTTCAAAGTCTTCATAAGTTCTTGAAGAACTTTTATAAAACTTGATGATTTAATCGCGTGAAACTTGATAATTCAGTTGAAGTTTACTCGCATCACAAAATTGTGTAGACAGATTTAGAAAAGGGAACACTAATTCATTAATTATTTTGAGACTCGTTTGTAGAGAGCAATCATAGCAATTTTGTAATGTGATATATGTCGTATTCGGGAAACGTTAAACGAGAGGTACATGCTTGATAGAAGATGAAATTGACAAGGGTTCTTCCAATTGAGTAATCAAGCTCTGAGATTGAAAAGTGAATCACATGAGAAAGGAGTAAGAGCAGAAAATGGGAAGATCGTATGGGGAAGGCCGAGTCGTAAGGTCCACGAAAGATGTTGCACGTCAAGAACCTTGCTGCAACTCGATGGATCTTATCAGATTCCATCGGGCCGGGATAGGGCAGTTTCCTTTGTCGGCTCTTTTTCATACCAATTTTTTGATGGGAAAGAACGACGGTACAGATCCCGCAAATTCTATTGGACAGCGGCGCATATATTCTTCTCGTCTTCGCGTTCTTTGTTGATCCCTAATTTAACGATCCACGACTTAACTGGGATTTCTCCAACGTTTATCTTTATGCAATCGCGGGGAAGCCAATTTGGCGTAAAAATCGCGTGCGCGAGTGGAATCGGGCAGGATTCGATTCGAAGGTAAAAGTAGAATGATTTGCGATGGGGATACATCTGTATGGAAAGTGACTCGATGACTCGATCATGGGGGCTGACTTTCGAAAAAGGTGATCCGGGTATCTGTGTCACATGGTGTTGTTACATAGAGAATTTTAGGCACGCCTCGCGCTCCGTTGCGCAAAACACAGCCGCGGACCTCGAGCGTTCAATTTCTATTCGACGTTCACCTTTTTTAATTAGCCGAGCTCGTCAAATCGAATGCGCCATGACGGACAGGCACAATCGTTCGTTAAGCGAATAATTTATGAGCGAGGATTAATTACCTCTGTAACAAGTGTCATTAATTCAACTAGTGATACGTAGATATTATATTAATGATAATTTATTTGCTGATATTTTTTATTATATAAATTCAATACTAAATTCATTTAAAATATCCTCTAATGAGATCAGATAGGAATTAATTGTCTCATTATTATTATTGATTCACTCCGTGTATTTTTAAATCGAATACAAAATACAATCTGGAACTTGATCAGATGCTTGTACTTTTACTTCGCATCTCGTTATCCACTGTCCAATTGTCCTTGTTGGAGACAGAGCGATCTTTTTAGTCATCAATCCGTTCTCCAAATCTAGAGCAAAGGCATTGCTGCGATTGTATGCAAATGGGACTTGCGATCCCTGATACGTTCTATTTCTGCGTCACATCTAACATGCTCGTTTATTTTCGTAGACTGTCTAAAGAAAAGTTCATGGACTTTGTCCTAAAAAATCGAGTGTCGAGTGCCGGTCGTATTTCCAAAACTTCTTCAACTCCGAGAAATTGCAATCTCTTCTCATCAGAGCTGAGTGTGTTCCTATGTACACGGAAAATTTTTCATCCCATATTTTACTCGTCTGCGAACATTTTAGCTTCACGTAGCCCCGAAGACCATTTATCGCAAAAGGAGCAACGACTCATCGGTCGGAACTTCGCTACCATCAGTATCTATTTACATTCTCGGGGCATATTGTCTCCCACGCAGTCTCTACCAGCTATTTCTTCATTTCAATCCCGAGGCAATCTATTACTCTGTCAAAGGTCCAACGCTTTATCTTCGGAGCCAGTAAATTTATACCCGGTGAAAAAAGATTCCACTAATAACTGCTTGTACCTTCGTGCGAGATGCGAGGCTTTATACCAAGTTATGCGAGGTTCCATTAAGTCGAAGTCGATCGCGCAAAGAGGATTTCGCCTGTTAAAGATAAAATTGCGTTTTAACTGAAGATCAAAGCTGAAACTTTTTCCTTTAACGCGACGCGACGCGAACTTCGCCCGCCGTTTTATCCCTCGTAAACATCAGCCCAGGCGTTGAAGCCGGTTAACACGCTTTCGAACCAGTCCCCTTCAGAAAAGTTGCCGCCGCCAACTTATATGACACGTTTCGTGATAAAGGTTCGATCGGATCCGGTCACCAAATTTCCAGAATTTCGAACGCCTCTCTCGTTCACGAGACCCGACCCGTGATTTATAGGACCCAGTTTTCGCTGGCACGTGGCAACACTTGCCGAGAGTCATTCACAACCGGCTAAGAGTCCCACCTACCACCCGCTCATTCATCCGGCTCGCGGTTTCCTTTTTTTTTTTCCCGTCGAACACCGTGAGCCTCGCCTCTCTATTTTTTCCTCGTCTAGCTATTTAGTCACCGACGTTGTTTTTTGGCCTACTTTAGCGTCGGTTGTTTTCCGTACGCTCCGGGTGTCAGTAGAAACGGATGGTTCGGACAGACACGGTCATGCAATATTAATGTGTTTCTTGTTTTCTTAGACGGATTCAAGATGACATTTTTATTTCGATTTCTTTTCCACGACGACACTAATGTTTCGATCTGGACGTTTTTATATCTCCCCGTCGTTTTATGAAGACAGCAACACACGAGTGAAAAACGAAATCTCATTTCTTTTTAATAGAGATGACGTTGTCTTTACATTTAATTGTGGCTTACCTCTTTCGTTGTATTCTTGTTTAATTAAACTTTTGGCAAAGCCCGGCGAAGCTTCAGGCGGCGCAAGGAAAGGTCACGGGGAATTTCATTCCTAGAACGAAAAGAGTGACCCACGATGGACCAGAGTGGTTGCGATAACGGGACCAACGTAGAAATTAAGGCATTCCGTGTGCGCGGCAACGAACTAGAATCCTCGTAATTTAAATTCGCGGCCACCGCGCGGTCCACGTGAGAGAGCGTGCAAGAATGCGGCTCGTAATCGCTACGGTAAATCAAACAAATGAATACCACCTCCCCTTTCCCTCACCAAATCATTCACAATTATTCCATGATCGAAATCAAAATACCTATATAATATAATAAACGCATCGGGATGTGTGCAAAATAAAGTTCGATTTATCAAATGGAATGATTTTACAATTTATCAATAAACAAAAATATAGAGTGTGTAAAGAAGTTTTCTATTATTTCTCACAAGTTTGGTCGCATTATTCGTGACACGGAACCAAGCAGAATTGCGATAGGAAAATAAGTAGAGAATAAGGGACACAGAATAAGTGATTGAATTTACTAGTTAGGCAAATAAGACACAAAAACACTGAATTGTGGACGACCGTCCCGCCGGTGCGGGTAGAGAACGAGGCGAGACCGGCGGTCGACAGTGATCGTAGGCGCGCGCGGCCAGACTGACTTCTCTCAGCTCGTCCTCTTTCCCTCGTACTCGTACGTCGAGCGTCGTCGCCGTCGGCGTCGTCGTTCCATTCACAGTTGCTACTTCGACGAGTTTGCTGGCCAGGCGCAGCCGCGAAAAGAGGGAGTCCACTCTTGCAATCTTTATCTTCCATTTCTACAATAATTATAAAAGTACCATAAATGATTTTGTTAAACTAAAATTAGGAAAACCAATATGTATAACATATTATAGTAAGTGTTACAATTTCTATTCACGTCGCGATTTGAACTCACTATTTAAAGTCTGGCTTCACTATACGAGTGACTAATGATGATTATAGAATTGACAGCCGAGATTATAACGAAATTAATATTTATAACCACATTCGTTAATTAAAACTGATACTAGGATGTAAAATAAAATTAATTTCTCGTTCATTCTTCTATACGTTAAGAACGACGAATTTAGATGAAAACGTATGACTTTCCATTCGTACCGATTTTCCAGGAACGTGGATCGGCAAATAAAAATTCATGTTCCTCTTTCCAGCGAATCCTCCAAACTCTCGCAATTGCTAACACCGCACCGGAATTCTGTCAGCTGAAAATAAAACTATCCATTTATCCGGCGGTAAGGTGTCGTAGAGGGAAGGTCGGCGCATTGTTGGTTCGCGGTAGACGTTTACGACGATGAGAGAGCCGCGTAGCGAGAGAGCTGTTCCCCGGAGAACCGGGAGAGTGAGAGTATGGTACCGTGGCCTGGAAGTATCCAATCCTGCGTCACACCCTCGCGTTTCGAACTTTTGACTCTTGTTTCACGCTATGTACGTTGGGGAAGTCAACGAGTACGTGAACACGGTGCTTTGCATGAAGGGAATACGACTTTTTATCCAATTTTTTTTTAAAACTTCTCTGAGAACTTTAATAATAATTTTTAAAGACGTAGTTTATAATTCCTAGCATTATTCGCAATATTTTATTTGAAGACGTGGATAATGATTGTAGAGCAAAATCTGAATTTTATGAAACTATATGCTAATGCAAGATTGATAACACAAATGGTATTATTCCCGTTCATTAATATCGACGTTCCCGTTACAGAAAATTTATAGTCGCAGAATTGTCCCCATTGTTCTCACGCGTTTTTCTTGTTTATAGTTCGCACGAAAAGCCCAGTGCATTGTGCTTCTACTAGGGATATACAAATCTCCTTGCTCGGAAATTGCAGGTGAAATATTCGCCACCGTTCCGTCGCATATTTTTAAACTACGACTCTCTACGCTGGAGGGTCGCAAATATGAAATTATAGCTCGTCCCATCTTGCTGTTGAAAAAAAAGTCCAAGCGAGAATGGACTTTGAAAGTCCGAACGAGAATAAATCCTCTGGCACGTATTTTCCGACGCGAGATCATTCCCATTTCAAGCACCAATGCAGAAAACAGGAACAGCCGATTGATTGATAGTTCCGAGTGTCCGAATTTTTTGATACTCGAACCAAAAAACTTGTCGCTGAAATCGAAAAATGATCGGTAGATCCACGGGAAAAGGAGACAGCTGAGCTGCTCGCCACTGTATGACCCTTCTTTTCGCGATTACGCGTTGCGTAAGTGCGCAAGAACGCGCGGAACTCGCGCGTGACTCGCTTTAGCGAAAGGTACACGCGTGGACAAAAACTTCATCGAATCGTCTCTCGGTATTGAACTTTCGAGTGAATAGATCTTTACGCAAGATGAAATTATTCGAGAGACGACGAGAAATTTTGATTCGAGCAACCAATTAACGAGAGATCGACGTACCATTTCTCGCTAACGAGGATCATTATTTTTATTCTTATTTTACCTGAGACTTTGACAGTTGAAGTTTCAATAATATGCAAATGGTCATACGATACTTTGGCCTCGGAGTTGTGCTCTGCTTTTAGAGATAGAAATATTCTGTGAAATTCAGTGAAAGAATGAGTCTCGTTTTCTAGAATAAGAAAAGTACATTCGTTACCGTAATTACACTGTGAATTTCTATGTAAAATAAAACTCGCTTCTAATTTGAGACCTAATATTTGTATCATCGTGACGTGTACTCAGTTACTGTTATTCAACACACGTTCAATATTTCCTGTAATTAAAATTTTTTTTTAAATACATAAAATTCTCTGTCTACTAAGTATCATAATTATATCATGTCTAGTAATAATTATCATCAATTTTGTATAATAGAATTTCGTATTTGACACTGAAATTAAATATCCGGCAGCTCAGGACGAAATGAACAAAAAGTCAATCATCCTGCGGGCGTGAAAGTCTGAGATTAGCTAGACGCCCTTTCACGTTCGACTCGAGGTAAATCGCGCAGTTAGTATGGTAATCTCGTCTGGCCGTGGTGTCGCGTCCTCGCGATCTGTCGGCTTTGAGGCGGAGACGATCGGATCATTGTCGTCCGACCTAGTTCCTGAACGGTTAATTAAATCCTCTTTCTTTTTTTTGGTTGCTCGATCGAAATCGGGCGGCGGAGCCATTAAACGCTCGTTACGCCTCGTTTTCGTGCCGATAGCGCCGTCGAAAATAAGAAGGAGCGAATTGGTCTTATACTGGCGACAACGCGACAGAACCATTACTGCTTCAGCTCGTTGTTTGTTTTCCCCAGTCAATTAAAGTTATGTCATATTCCTCTTCCTCGTCTTTCCTGCGATTCGATTCTGGCTGCTGATCAAACGTTCGAGCAGTTGATCGATAGGCATCTTCTTTAATGACGTCCTTTCTTATTATGCCTTTGATAGTCTTTTATATACATTATCTGCTGTGAGAAATTGCGCGGGAAGTGATAAAAGATTGTTCGTGTCGTGACTAATGTAGGTCAGGATGTTTCATAAATCTCTGCTTACCCTTTTTTTATCTTGTATCATTTCACTAAGAGAGGTACGCTGAGAAAGAGCACATTAATCATGGATACACCGTGCTACATCTCACTACACCATTTTTCAGAACAAATGTATCTAACCGAAACTGTAAGCCCGGTTGCAATATAATTTGATTACCTTTAATTAAGGTAGCAATCAGACAGGTGGTCCTAAATCAACAAGTTAAGCGTCGCATATTAAATGGCTTGTAAACCTCTGATAGCGAATTCGACTTTGCACCGAACTTAATGGCACAAAGTACCGTCGCAATCGATATACATAATTATGTATGTAATTTATTAACTCATTTGCATTATTAGTGCATATAAGCACAATTTTTCTGGTTATTATCATCAGAATGCAAAATAAATTATTACGAAGTAATATTTGAAATTTTCTTTTATTCATTACTTTTACTACAGCATTGCAAACTATTAGTTTATATTTGTATTAGTAATTTCTATTATAATATTTATGCACGACAGTGTATTGTGTAAATAAGTTAAAAATCTGGCGTAGACACACCGGCCTGTGAATGAAGTCGTTGAACGAGGAGAGCGAATCGAAGGATGAGTGAAACGATCGCCTCGTTCGGAAGAGTTCTCACGTAAGAATGCACCGCGTTAATTTTCGCTGCACGCGTTAATACACACTGCGCTCCGGATTGCCATCGCTTTCCGATCGTTCGTAATTGCACGCAATTATCCTCGGTGGGGAGCGTGCATGGGTCCCGGCATCTTGAACATAAATTACCGGCGATCACAGATACCTCCGTGCATCGGTAGAGGAAGAAAAGAAATCGGCTACGTGACCATCGAATTTCTGCCCTTTTTATCGACACTTTCACAATCGGTTGCCATTCCGCTTGAACGGAGACTTGTTTGAAATTTATCATATTTCAAATTTGTTTATAATTACTACTGGACAGCGGATGTTTATGCAAAATACAACTTTTATAGATCAGTTTGAAAGACGTGCTTCAGATAAACATTCCAATAGTAATAGTTTTTCGCTTACCATTTCCGAAATCCACACCAGATCTTATGAACTCGGCTATAATACTGATTTTATGTACCCATCCCTAAAATTGGTAATTTGGTCAAGGATAGTGAAAATAAATTCCAAGATTTTATTTCCATTCATTTATTAACCAGAATTTAGTAATCAGTTTCCAATTTAAAATACAGAGATTCTTAAATCGTAGATCGTAGTTCTTCGCTTGGTACCGTTTGCAAAGACTGCAAACGCTACCAACCCAGGTCTCACCGCGTGGAGGTGACTACGTTCGAGACCCGGACAGTGGACAATCCCCACTGCCCCCTTCCCTATTAAATTGCCACCCTATTATACGGAGCGAATATTGGAGAAGGATTTTAGACGATTGCGAACAAGACTCTAACTATTGACTCTAACTATGGACTAACTATTGACTCTAAATGGAAACTAAGGTGAGAACAAAATGTCAGACTTCACTTGGGCACCAGAGTTCGAGCCGAGCAGGA